CAAGGCCACCTGCCTGTCTGAGGAAGCTAGCAGACCTGTTCTTAAACCCAGCAGCAGCAACAGCTTGCTGGCTTCTCAATGAACATGCCTGCAGATTCTCTGCTTTCCTGTGTTCGCCTTGTTCCAGGTCCTGCTTCGGTCTTGCTTTTTGCTCCAGCCTAGACCCTGCATTGTTCCAGTCCTGTCTCAGCCTTGCTCCTGCCTTCCTTGATACTAGGTTCTGGCCATCGGCCTTGGTTCTGACTCTGATTATGGGTGCTGACCCTTGCTCTGACCAGAAGGCCAGACTGCCCTCAACCTGATTCCCTGACACATCTACATAGTCTTGGATATTAGAACTTGTGAGAGAGAGGGAGGGAGAGAGAGAGAGAGAGAGAAAATGTTGGCTAGCATACCAATATTATCACCAAATCTTGACTGATATATTTCTAATCTTTGGCAGAGACAACTTGGGGCCAGTATGTCACCTCAGACCCTTTAAACTCAATTCTCTTCCTTGGTCATTTGGCATTTCCTGTATATCATTAGGATTGCAGCCTTGCAGACAAGTGACTTTAGGGGAGAGGATTCTTTAGTCTACACTTTTGTTTCAGAATCCCAAGACAGGTAGGTTCCAGATACCTCTCTTCTATCTTTTAGAAGCTGAAGGTTGTTTCACATCTTCAGGACAGTCTGTGTCAAATAGTCTAAAACCACGGGAGCTGTAATAAACAATTTATTTTAAATAGAGTAAATCAGAATAAAGCAGTGGCTCTCAATCTTTCCAGACTATTGTACCCTTTTTAGGATCTGATTTGTGTTGCGTACTCCCAAGTTTCATCTCACTTAAAAACTACTTGCTTACAAAATCAGACATAAAATACACAAGTGTCACAGCACACTATAACTGAAAAATTGCTTACTTTCTCATTTTTATCATAATTATAAAATAAATGAATTGGAATATAAATATTGTATTTACATTTCAGTGTATAGTATATAGAGCAGTCTAAACAAGTTGTATGAAATTTTAGTTTGTACTGACTTCGCTAGTGCTTTTTATGTAGTCTGTTATCTAGGCAAATATCTAGATGAGTTGATTTACCCCCTGGAAGACCTCTGCGTACCTCCAGGTTTAGAACCACCAGATTAAAGGATAGGAATTGTGTCCAATACAGATTTAGTTTTATGCAGTCAGTCCATCAGGAATATGGATTCAGATGTCTCATAACATCATCCTTCCTCCTTTTCCCTGGGATTCCAATCCTTGATAATCTATGACCCTTTTTGATGTAAAAAATGCAACAGGATTCCTTGTCATATTAGGCATGCCGGTTTAGGTTATATCAGCAGTTCTGCAATGTACAGTCTAATCAGCTGTACCATCTAGGGGGAAGTGGAATAGTCTACTGTCTGTACAGTAGATATTTTTCTCTATATCTACTAACATCCCACCATCAAGCTGTGGAGTAATTTCCTGTCTTCAAACGTAGCAGATCAAATATCCCTTAATTATTTTAAAGTGTCAAGGTGACAGGACCCATGTCAGCTATCCTTGGCTGGAGGGGTTGATCTGAATCCAGCTCAGTCTGCCTCTAGAGAGACAGGATTTATATATTCATATAGTTCTTTCTTAATTTTATTCTATATCCAATAAGAATTGTTGACAGAGTAATGCTGATCTTTCATACAGTGTGACTGGTTCTCTCCTTTAAAGAACAAATAATGGGCTTATGAGAGAGACTGAGATTGAAACATCAAATCTAAGTGTATGAAAATGTCTCTAGGAGTTCTGAGTGATGCCCATCTAGATCAGAGGCTGTGTTTGGATCTAGTTTCAGACTTGGGTTCACATCCAAAGCAGGGTTAATGTTTAGATATGAGATTCAAAAATCTCAGAAGCTTTATTCACAATATTTCAGCCCAGAATGAAGGATAAACTTTTGAGTACCATGTAAAAGATCTGTGACACCACGGACTATAAAAGGACTACAAAAAACCTAATTGTGACCAATCATGGGTATAAGCAGGGACAGAATTCTGATCCTACAGCTGAAAAGCCCAGGACCTAAAGGAAAGGAAAATCTTCTCTATTTGTAGCAGTGCTTCTAGCAAAAAAACAAAACAAAACCTCTCACACATACACACTAGGTTTTTAAGGTTGAAAGCCTATATCACTGAAATCCAGCTAATTCCTCAAATCAGTATTTTTTTTCTAGACTCTCTAGAAAACCCAAATGTTAGAAAGTCAGGAAATGAGGAGTTAAGGCATCTAATCAGTTTCTTACTGCTGTATATGCATTTACCACTTACTAGTGTCCCTCCCAATGTGCACCACCCACCTAACCCTAGTTTTACTTCCCTTTTGTGTTCAGAGTGAACATATACTGATTTGTATACATCCTTGACCAAGCGTGCAGTAAGACTTTGATAATATAGTCCCAGGGACCAACAAGTTACATCACTTCTGCAAGTTCTCCCATAGTGCAATGTTGGGAAGCATGAGCTGGGGCTAAGGCTTTTGTCTCTGACCCTACTGCGTTTCTGTGCATTTACTGCATCACAACATGCTTTGCTTGACCTTATCTTCATTTTGTAGGATTGGGTTTTAAGAATTCATCCGCTCCTGTTGCTTGTTTACAGAAAGGCCTAATCCTGTGTGACATCACAATAAAATACTGTGGAAATTGTGATATCATAAATACGGGATTATAACTTGAGGAAGAGAATGAAGGGGGAAAAAACTCGGGAAAATCTCCAAATGTGTAATTTGTTAGCAGACAATCGAAAACCCTATTCTGTATTTCCTTGTTAACAAAAACGGACTTGATTGGCTCTTCAGATGTTTCCTTTAATTAGTATGAAAGTCTCTTCTCCTTTCTCCGACTTCCTATGAATATAATCTGAGTTATTTTCTGCCTCCACCTCCTCCCTCAGCATTATTGTCATGACAACTTGGAAATCAGCTCCTGAAAGATGTTTACTAGTAATTTGACTATATGAGCAATACAATTTGTCATCTGAAATAGGAATTAATACTAAAGCTTGTCAAATACTAAAAGCCCTTCATTTTGCAAATGAAGAACCTACCTTGGTTTGTTACAACTTGCTGCTCAGAATCTCGCTTCCAGCGAAATTGTGATCTGCAGTATGTGGTCATGCAGGGGCGCCTGGGGCCATAGAGTGCCTCCTTTCTCCCCTGTGCAAATGTATCCCTTACTCGCTTCTGTTGGATTGCTACTTCCCCTCCAATGCAAGGGGTGGACAGTGTGCAGAGCTCTGACTTTGTTACCCTGTCTCTCTCTCACATGCTGGCCAGTGCCGTTCTAGGAGAAGTAAGCTGGTATGAGGCTGGGTCAGCTTGATTCCTCTTTTGAGTCCTCACTTACTCATTCTGAATCATTTGTCTTCCCTTCTGCTTCTCACCCCCATGCCAGACTTCTTTCCTTGCACCTTACCCAGGGCCGGCTCTAGGCACTAGCAAACCAAGCACGTGCTTGGGGCAGCACATTTTCAGGGGCGGCATTCCGGCCTTTTTTTTTTTTTTTGCTTCCGGCGGCAAAAGACTAGAGCCGGCCCTGGCAGCAGCAGCACCTCATGTGTGGGGGCGCCCTGGGGCCACTGCAGTTTGCGCCGTGGGGGAGCAGTGCCGCACCTTGTGGCTGGGCCGGGCAGGCTCCGAGCGGGGGAACTTGGGCTGGGGGCCGCCCCGCGGGGCACATGGAGCCACCTGCAGGTGCCGCAGGGCGGCTGCCCCCCAGTGCCGCGGCCGGGGCTGGGCGAAGCGGCCCGAGCCGCCCAGGGACTGCGGCAGGGTGGCCAGAAGCAGCAGCAGCAGCGGAGCCATAGAGGGCAGGGCGCTGCCGTGCGGGGCCCATGTCCCGCTCTCCAGGGCTCCGCTTCCTCTGGGGCTACCCTGCCCCGGCTCCACAGCCCCCTGCCAGGGCAGTCCCCCGGCTCTGCCCTCCTGGGTCCCGGCCGGTCCTGGAGGCGGGAGCCCTGGCTGGAGGGACCCTGGGCTGAGGCGCGGCCCGGGAGCCCCGCTGTTTACCCCAATCCTGCCAGCGCCGGACCGGCTGGAGGCGGGGGGTGGGAGAGAGCCCAGTGCTGGGGTGGCAGGGGGTGTGGGTGGGGGAGGGCACTGGTGGGGGGTGAGAGCCCAAGGCTGGGATGGGGGGCAGCCAAAAATTTTTTTGCTTGGGGTGGCAAAAAACCTAGAGCCGGCCCTGACCTTACCACATAACTAGGTGCTTACTTCAGGTGCAGGGGAGAAGAGAAGTGCAAATGCCAGCCCTTGCAATAGAGATGAGCTGACTGTAGGTTCACCAGTCACAAGGCTAATAGAGTCAGTTTCTGATTTCATGTGACTCTGTCTCTACATGCTGAGGAATGCTGGTTCAAGGACAATTTTTTGTCAACTTCATGTTATTGCCCACTTGTATAACCCTCCAGTTTTGGCATTTCACGCACTACAGTGTATTTGTTTTTTTAATAAATCCACCAGAATTTTTTTAAAAAATCTATTGATATTGAGTTTTGTAAAAGTTTGTTTGTTTCTAAACACATTTTGCACCAAATTTGACTTGCTAGAGATCCTTGAATTAGGCCTGGGAAAGAAAATCTGATCTGCTTAATAACTGTGGAGGTTAATGGATATAATCTGTATCTTTTAATCCAAGTATTTTATTTACAAACATTCTGTAATGCTTCAACTAACATTGGAGGTGTGTGAAGTAATAGAACAAAAGAGAAGGTAAAGTTTTTAATGGGTGGTGTGATCTAAAATGACTTTACTGGTTGTGTCTCAGTAACTGGGATTGGGAATCAAAGTGGAGAAAATTACATACATTTAGCCCCTCTGCTGTTGACTGGTAGACGTCATAGGACCCTCCCCAGTCCTAATAAGGCCAGTAAGAATGTGCCAAGCATTAAGTGTGCTAAGAATAAATTTGAGCTAGGATGGGGATAAGGTTACTTTGAACTCTATATTTCATGTTTTCTGACCTCCCCCGCCCCTCCTCCAAAGAACTGTAATTATATTAGAGAAGCTGCAGGGGCTTTAAACAGTTCTTTCTAGTTCCTTTGCTTTTTGCTGCCTTTCCCTGCTCTGCTGTCCCCTTTGGATCTGGGAATTTTTATTTTTATTTATAGGGTGTGTGGTTCTCGTGCTGAAGATGCACTGTGAGGCATGGCTATTTTTGTTAGAAGCTGATACTTTAGTCTGAGCTGCAGGCATTGCCTTGGGAAAGGCTTAGATTGTTCTGGGGGGCCAGGACTCTACAGAGAAGACAAGTTCAGAGAGGCACCAAAAGAAGAAACAGAATAGGAAAAGAGGAGGACCTCCCACCTTTTATTTCTGCATTTCCTGATAGAGTCAGTGACCCAGAAGTATTATCTAAGCTGCTGGTATAACTTGACCTGTTTAGAATATCTCTTACGATCGCTGCTATGGCTGAGATTACAACAGAAGGTACTGTAACTATTTTCAAATATAATTAATTGAAAACAATTTGTACTTTGACAGTGTGATTGAGTCAGCACGTCAGTGTGATTTATTGCTTTTTTGGGAATAGCAGTTTTCCTGAAGGGTGGGTTTTTGTGTGAGAAGTGTTTGTCTGGCAGCTGGAGACTCCACTGCTAGTTAGTGAAGCTAGATCACCACACACCTCTAAAAATAGCATTGGTCATGTAACCTGAGCAACCGTAGCTTAGACAGTGACCCTAAAGTGATACAAGAAAGGAATGCATACTGAACTGGAGCTATTGGATTTAATACCAATAGGTCCAGTCCTGAACTCCTTACGCAGACAAACCTCCCATCAGCAAAATTGGCATTGAACTCTGTCAGAGTTTCACCCATGTCTGAACATCAGAAATCAGCTCTGTGGTGCTGATCCTGCATCTGGCTCAGTGGAGGCACAGGGGTACACTTGCAGGACCAGGGTCTAAATTTGTAACCTATATTTTAATGTTAATTGAAGTAAACAGTACTGATCCTGCAAGCCTTAGCCAGGTAAAGCTCCCATGGAAGCCCATGAGAGCGTTGCTTGGATAACTACTCGAGGGCTAGGCCCAAAGAATGAGAAGTAATCATATAAACCACAAAACATTTATCCTAACACATGAATATTTCATATACTTTAATATTTCCTGGCCATTCATATTTAAATAGCTTTTAGATGCCTAACAATATTTTATCAACAACAGCGCAAGAAGGAATCTTTTTAAAATTCCACCTTTTTTACTCAAATATTGAATATTTTTAGTGGAATTTCATCCATTGTGGATCATTCTACTAATCATCTTCAAGTTTAATAATGACTTTTTTTTAAAAATGGGCTTTTTGACAGTCTTCTGAAAGTTTATTTTTATTTTGCTTGTGATAGTGTTTCAGTATATTAAACTTGTACTTTTCATCCTTCAATCTGAACCATTCTGTTTGAGAGGATTGGCATTATTCACTATTGGTGAAGGAATCTATTTCCCATAGGTTGCAAAATTAGCAGTGTCAGAATTTGCAATGTTCTTGCTTGATGTTAGCAATAGCAAACATAAGGCTGATGCGGGTGAGGTGCATGTGGCCTTTTGTTGTTGTTGTTTTATCATCAGTGGTTGGATGAGTGTATATAATTTGCTCCTGGCAGCAAATAGTACTAAAACAGGTGACACAGCCAGAAAGCTCTATCACAAATGCTGGGATTAGTTCATGTAGAAATTCTTATCCAAATTTGGTGAAAACACTGCTCATTTTGTATTTGCTATCTGGAGAATTATATTTGTCCTCAGATATGTGCTGGGTAGTACCACAGATGTTAAAGGGACTTGTATGCATGAATCTGAGGGCAGAATATGCTTAGGTCTGGTTGAGTGCTTTTACTTTGTTTTTTGTTCTTGTGGAAAGTTCCTTGTTTATGGTAGATATTCCTAACTGACAATCTCTAATGCAGACTGGCTTAAAATTAATATGAAATACACAAGGCTTTTCAACAGCGTATGTTATTTAGTGGTATTACACATCTATATAGAGTTTCTGTGTTGCTGAATCTGGCATCTGGTAATTGAAATGAAAAGTTCTTTTAAAAAAAATCATACCTAGTACTGTTAAGAAGACTCTAAACATCCCTGTCAAACTTAAAAGCTCTATTTAGCCGTAATAATGTGTATCTTTTGGCCCTGTGTAAGGCAGTGGCAGCTTCAGGTGGTAATGGACGTCAATTCCACAGCAGACTGATCTTCAGTAGATAGGTCGCTGATAGGGCTGTGGAAGCCATCTTTTCCCTTGTGTGTGGAGGAGGGTTATACTGATCATCTGATTTTTTACAGCTGGTTCATTAGGTGGTATAAAGTTTTAATCCATGGCAGCATACTGTATTTTGAATTTGAGGGTATAATTAAGTTTCATGGCGGAGTATCTCTCCTGAGTTGTTACTGTTGCAAATGAGGGAGCTAGCAAGTTCAAATCCACAGTGCAACAAAATCTTACAACTTTCCAGTGCATGAACTGCTAGTGACTTCCTGCCCTTAATAGTATTAAACTTACTGTTCCTTTTATCTTTGTTATACTGACAGTCCCACATCATCCAGGCTGTCAGTCAGAATTTGCCTTATGGAATATCATACATAAATGTTAGACAGCATTGCATGGCAACCAGAGAGTGTGGAACCATATGTTCTCTGACTGAAGAGGAGGCCTTAATGCTACCTTTGCCATTTTGCCTGCTGAACTAAGGAAAAGTTCTCTAGATCTGGTGGGTTGAGGTCATGTCATCTTGATGCAAATATCTAGACATCTTGTTTGTGACACTCCATTTCAAGATAATGCCCTTCTTAGCATTAATTATGAAGGATGTTTAGGGCATGATTCATCACTACATAACTTCAGTTTTACCCCAGAAATGTAATGCTGTTGAAATTAATTGGAATTAAAGATGGAAGAACACTGTAAAGATCCAGCCCTATAATAACTTCTAACACCAGGCCCTACATATACTACCTGGGATGACATTTTAGCTCAATTAAAAAGTTGCATGGCAAGATCACAGCAACGAAACATAATTGGATAAAAAAAAAAATGACAAAATGAGTTACTGTCTTCACAGGATGTCTACATAAACCCTTAGAAAACTTGCATATATATGCCAAATATCTAGTACTCTAGTCCAATGAATGCTTATGAAATGAATCCAAAGGATTAAACTGGGTCTTCTCACATTCCTAATAACATTTATCTACAATATTAGAAACAGAAATGCACTTTATAAAATCTATTATTTAGCAATAAGTAGCATTCCTAGGTAGGATTCAAAGCTCAGTACGAACATTAACTATTTCATCCTCACAACACACCTGTGCGCTCGGTAAACCTTACATTTCCAAATGGGCAAATATACTGAAAGGTTTGGGGCGCAGTTGTGAGCCAGCATGTTCAGGGATAAAGGGAACCGTACTCCGGTGTGCTGGCTACTGTGGCATTAAAAGTCATAAAATGGGAGGGAGAGAAGCTGCCACCAGCTTGCTCCCTACCTCCCCAGATGGTTAAAGAATGAAGAGAGAGCCTTTGTTCTGGTCTTGCAATGCACTGGCTAGCACAGCTGATCCAACACAGAGGGGAAATAGTCTATGCCAGGGGTAGGCATGCCACGGAGCTAGGAAGAAACTGGATTTGAACTGTCTCTCTGAGGGTATGTCTGCACTTAGAGTTGGAAGTGTAATTCCCAGCTGGAGGAGACATACCCGCACTAGCTCTGATCTAGCTAACACACTAAAAATTGAGTGTAACTGCGGCGGCTGAGGCACTAGCTGCCCCGGGTATGTACCTGTCTGAGACGCTAGATGCACAAATGCTCAGTCATAGTTCAGTCTCTAGTTTGCTCCTGGTAGCTATGCATCTATACATTGGCCATTAGTCAGCAACGAGCAATCGTTAGATTGCAACGAGCCAGTTTAGCCTTAAGTGATTTACTAGAGGCTCCACAGCTTATCAGTGACAAAATCAGGATTAGTTCCTGGATTTTTGTCCTGTGCTTAGTTCAGTAGACAAGTAAGAAAAGTTATATAGTCATAAAGCATTTGAAGAGGCATGTTTAACAAGGTTTGCACACTTTAAAAATAATGTAGGTCATCACAGTGATACATGAGAAATAACACGAGGGGCCAGAGTATAGAGTCATAGAGATGTGCAACACATGCTTTGGGTGTGCTTACGCCAGAAGCTACACGTAACCTTCAATAGCCCAGAAGTTCACATACAGGATAATCAAATGACTGCTCACTCAGAAGTGTTAAAGGCATAAAAGACATTTCTAAATGTTCTCAGTTCAAACAAACAAGTTTAACAATATTTTATAACATGAAAGAATGGCTTCCTTATTCGTTCGTCTAAGATCACAAGAAGCGCAGTTGGGAAAGTAACTCAGATACTTTCCTGAAGGACTGTTTTTTCTCTAAATTATCCTAAATTCTCAATTACTGAGGGACAATCTTCACTTATTGATATATTTTGCTTTCCGCCACCAACTCTCTGTATAACTTTTTTCATGAGTAATGTACCCGAATGCATGGATGCTAAATATCTAAACTGTATTCTTAAATTCATTCACCTAAATTTGGGTTATTGCTGATTATGTACTATATGTATCTTATGACTTTAAAAACAAACTTTGCACTAAGCACTATACCCAGATCAGGGCCGGCTCTGGCTTTTTTGCCGCCCCAGGCAAAAAA